GGACCCCCGCCTCCCGCCGCCTCGTGGGGCGCCGGCCCCGGGATGGGAGAGGGGGTGGAAGGATTCCTGAATGTTGCAAAGATGAAGCCTCCTTCTTCCGTGATTGTCGAGAACCTCTTCCAAACATTCAATCAGGATCTCGACCTCGGAGTCCAGAAAGGGGGACTCCCACCCTCTCAGCAGATCCTCGCGGCGTCTGCTGGGCCCCTTGGCGCTAAGGAGCCCTTGTCTGAGAGGCGCCTAGGACAGGGTATCTCCTAGGACACACGGCGGGATGGGGGCCGCAGATGCCCTCCAGAGCCCAGAGCAGACAGGAAAGTGTTCAGAGCAGGAGACTGGGTGAGGGGCCGGGCCTGGCACGTGGGTGATGGCATGTTCCCCAGGGAAGGAGCATCATGAAAGTGTGAGGGAGACTCCTAGTTCTGGGAGGACATAGCCAGAGAGAAACGGAGCAAGGTGAGTTTAGCAGGCTCTGGGTCCCTTTCGTGTGGGACTGCCCTACTGTCTGTGAGGCCTTGTCCCAGGGCACAACCCAGGGCTGCCCCTGACCCAGCGGGTTTGAAGGCACTCTGGACCATCAGATCACCTTCACAACCACCCTGTTAATTAGATGCCCTTGGGTGTACCCCTTTTCGGTGAGGGAGGTCAGGTAAGGTGCCAGGGTCACACAGCAGGCAGTAAGCTGCTGCACCAGGATTCAAATTCAGCCCGTCTCATTCTGCACTGCTTGGAGTCCAGGAAATGGAGAATAGCAGAGAGGTGTATCCCAGGCTCCTGCGTAGGGTGGGAGTGGCCAGAGGCCAGGCATGTGTGGGCTGCGGGAGTGGAGCCCACTGGCGGAGGAGCTGAGGGCTCTGGGAGGAAAGCCGCATGGTTACACTAAAATGCAATTCTTTGTTTGACCGGATGTCCTGCATTTTTATTTCCTAAATCTGGCAGCTGCAGCTTGGAATGGTGGGGTCACCCTGCACTTAGCCACTGAGACTGGCTGAGGGACGTCAGAGCCCGGGCTCCTGTTGTCAGCCAGCCGTCCACCCTGGAACAGCGGAGTTCAAGTGAGCTCGGGGTGAATGCTGGATGGGGCTGCCCCCTCCCAACCCTGCTGGATCAGAGCCTGCCCTGCCTTCTCCCCACCTTAAGCGTGACCGGCCCAGAACCTCTTTGAGCCTTAATAATCCTCATTTGCAAAACGGGAATCAGAGTGCCTCCCGGCCTTTGCGGAAATTGATTGCAGGGCCTGACCATGCGCAAGCTCTCAGGGCCTTTGCCTTATGGTCACTCAGGTTCTGGAATGTTCTTCTCCAAAGACCCCTTCACTGGCTCCTCTTCATTCCTGTCTCTGCCCAATGACACCTCCTTAGTCGGGGGTGGCCTTCCCTGCCCACTTACTAAGACCCCCTCTCAGCCCTTAGGCTGCCCACTCTCCTCTTGGGCCTGAACCTTCAGCAGGTTCCTGTGCCCGGTCACCATGGCATATCCTGTCTCCTCTGCCTGCACTGTGGAGGAAGGAACTGTTTTGTTCACCTGGTGCCTAAAAGTTGCAGCTGGCGCCGTGGCTCACGCCTGTAATCCCAGCACCCTGTAAGATCAGGATGGGAGGATTGATTGAGCCCAGATCGTACCACCGCACTCCAGTCTGGGTGACAGAGTGAGACCCCAACTACAAAAAGTCGACTGGGCACGAAATGGGTGTTCAGTAAATGTCTGTTGAGTGAATGCATGATGGGGGCTGAGTGACACCCACTGGTCCCACCTGTCCCTGCTCCTGACTCCTCTGTGGAAACGTCCAGCCCTGCCTCCCCATGGCCCTAGCCCCTAAGTCCCTGAGGCCGTGGGGGGCTGGCTGTGCTGATACTCCCCGCTGCAGGCTGGGATTGAGCACCCTCCTTCCAGCCAGGCAGGGCAGGAGGAACAGAGTGTCTCGGGCACTTGATGGAGTTGTGGTGCTCAGGGAGGGTCAGGGCGCTGCTTACAGGAGCCTGGGGTGGGGCATGGAAGGCCAGTCCAGCTGGGAACAGGCTAGAGGAGGGGGAGGGAATGGGGAGAGAGGCCCCCAGTTTCTCCTGCCCCCCACTGAGCCAGGAGGAGGGTGGTCCGAGGCAGCCCAGATTTGGTGCTGGGAGACCAGACCGCCTGCGGTCCTCAGATCCCCTCTCTGGCCGGCTCGTTCTCAGGCGCAGAGATGACAGGAGGCTGTCACAGAACCGTGGTGGTGGTGGCGCAGGCACAGCCTCTCCAGGCGGGCGGCCATCTGGCCTGGGAGCTGCCCCAGGGCCCCGCCCTGCAGCTGCTGCTGGGACCATGAAGCCTGAGGCCTGAGTCCTTCCCCACAGCCCAGCCAGCAGCTGCAGAAGGTGACAGTGCAGGAGGCCCCTGTGCTCTGGAGGGGGCAGGCGGCGGGCCCTCCCCTGGGGCCCGGTGCAGCAGTTTTTATTGGAAACATCTGGCCAGGGCGGACTGTGGGGCTGGGTCCCCTCCTTGCCATTGTCTGGGGGGGCGGGAGGGGTGTGTTCTTGGAGAGGGCTCTGCTTTCCCTCTGGGGAGACAGAGGGGCGGGGCTGACCTTGCCCACTTGGGGACCTGGTGTGGCTCATGCAGAATGAAGACAGGACTGGGTGTGGGGCTCACAGCAGGTGACAGGCCCCAGCGGGTATCAAGCACCCAGCCAGGTAGGCAGGGAGGCCTCCTGGAGACGGCCGGCAGTTAGCCAGGAGGTTTGTGCCAAAGCCAGAAAGGGCTGGGATGTCACTGTCTCTTTCATGGGCGGGCACCCTCCTGACCGCCACCCACTTGCCCGCCACCCTGCCCTTTGCCCCTATGGTTCCCTGACCGCCTCCCCAGAGTATCCTCCGCCTTCTCCATAGTATGACTGAACCCAGGATGGCAGTGGGGTCAGGGAGCCCCTCCTGGGAGAGCAGTGGGTAGGTGGGACAGTCCCAGAGGGGGCCCAAGTGGCCCACATCAAGGTTTGAGGGGTGGACAGACCTTAGACACTCGGGCTCAGGGGCCGCCTTTGGGCCGGGCCTCCAGCCCAAGTGCTGCCTACGTTTATAAAGTCTGAGCTGGGACAGTTATGCCTAGTGGGGGTGGGACAAGAACTGGGAGTCCCCTGTCCAAGGAGTGCCCTGTGCAGGGGAGAGAGTCCTCTTGGTCAGCTCCAAGAGGAAGGGACAGAGCCCCAATTTTGGCTGTAGACTTGTCCTGGGTGCTAGGCTGAACTGAACCCGCCTCTGTCTACACCTCCCTCACCCCCTGCTGAGCTCTGACTCTGGTTGAAAATAAGCCCCCTCCCATCCTTACCAATCCCAGGAGGGTAACCCACAAGAATCTCCCTTTTATAAAAGGGTCATTATCCACTCTGGGCATCTAGAACAGGGGAGGAACTTCTGGCTAGGGCGGGGCTGGGGGGGAGTCACCTGCAGGGTCCTGCAGCTCTGCGTCCCACTCACAGAACCCCACAGGGGACCCTCTGTCTTCCACCGGCCCTTCTGCCCCTTCCGGTGGCCTGCAGACTGGGTGCCTGGGGCCTGCGGAGTCCAGCAGGGAGGGTCCTGGGTTGTGGCAGCCATCACGGCCCTTGTCATGAGCCCCACCTACCCCACAGCTCCCTCTGGTGTCTGCACGCTGCTCAGGGTGGCACCCAGGCAAGGTGTGGCCCTGTCCTGTCACCGGCAGAATCCCCCGGTCTCCGTTCAGCTGCCAGCACCTCAGCGAATGGCCAAGTCCCCAGCGGCCTCCCCCATGGTCTTCCTTCAAGGCCTGCCTCCAACGGGCCTCCCAGAGGGTGAACCCTGCTCACTGTCCCTCACTCGCCAGAGGCCCGCTCACGCGGCCGGTCCTCGGGATGGGCCTTGAGGCCGTCCCTCCCGCCCGCTCGGCGCCGCGCACGTGGGGCACAGGCCGAAAGTCACCCCCGCCCAGTGGAGGCAGAGGTCCGGGCTCGGTCCCAGCCCGGCCCCCGCCCAGTGGAGGCAGAGGTCCGGGCTCGGTCCCAGCCCGGCCTCCGGGCAGAGCTAGGCCGA